CCTTCTCTTAAAAATAACCCTAAACATATTTCTACTGGCTTGCAGACTCCAAAACCTTTCAGCCTGGGAACAGTCCTGATTTTGTAATATCCTTCTTTTATTACATGTATCAGGTTACACATAAGCTTTCGAAGCTTATTTTCCTTTCCCTTTTTTTCCTCCTTGGTTGGTTGGTTTTACAACTGAATATAACCCTGTACAGTAGTGATGTCTTATCTAGACACTTCTTTCACATAAATCACAGGAAAATAAGAGACAACAGTCATTGCCATGTGCAGTTGATAGATAATTGCTAGATAAGCGCTTATGCAAAACCCAACCTTGAACTTAGTCATGTTTTCTTTTGTACATCACACACAACCAACTTGGATTTCTTTAGTGCCCAAGAGAACACAAAACAGCTCCCTACACCAGAACAGCAGCATTCTTACCTGCAAATTTATATGTTGCTTTTCATCAGCTCTAAGCTAAAATGCAGCTCAACTCGAAACTTAATTAGACTCCATAGGAGAGGTAGCAGCTTGTAACAGGTTTTTATTCTTACAGGGTTCTGAAGGCACTTCCAGTGAGTAACAGAACAGTGGACATATGGAAAACATCCATAAACCGGGAATAATTCCACTGGATTTCAGCCCTTAAGTCTCAATGTAAGCTGGACACCTGTACCAGACTGCCTTAAACTCTTCAGCCTCTAAAGCATCCGCGTAATACAAAAACTGGAGCTGGACTGATCATTCAAAATTAATTTAGCCAGAACATTAACGAGCTACAGTTTCTTCTGCCGCTTGTATGTTGTAGTTTGTTGTCTGTTTGATTTTGCTTCCTTTACCAGTTCTACAAACAATTCTAGCCCATAGCTTTTCACTAAAGCTTTTAAGATCTGTAATTTGAGCAGCGCAGATCCTATTTCGCAGTTGTGATCAGAGTCCAAGCCGTGAAGAATACCAGGCAGCTACACTGCAGACCCTGGTTTGCTTAGGGCAGTGTGGTGGGTTGACCCTGGCTGGCAGCTAAGCCCCTACCCAGTCACTCACCCCCAAATGGGATGGGGGAACGAATCAGAAGGGCAAAAGTGAGAAAAACCTGTGGGTCAAGATAAAGACAGTTTAATAAGTGAAGGAAAAGGAAAAAACCAAACCAAACCAAAACAAGTAATGCAAAGGCAGTCACTCACCACCTGCAGAATGATGCCCAGCCAGTCTCCGAGCAACATATTCTGTGGAAAAACTCCCCCCCAGTTTTATTGCTGAGCATGATGTTATACAGTATGGGATATCTCTTTGGTCGGTTTGGGTCAGCTGTCCCGGCTGTGTCCCCTCTCAACCTCTTGCCCAACCCTAGCCTACTCCCTGGGGCAGCAGAGTGAGAGATACAGAAGGCCTTGACACTGTGCAAGCACAACAGCTAAAACATTGTTGTGTGTTATCATCAACACTGTTTTGGTCACCAGCCTAAAACACAGCACGATACAGGCTGCTATGAGGAAAATTAACTCTGTCCAAACCAGACCCTGTACAGATAGGTAATAAAGGACCACGGGGCTATCTCCAGAGACTGCCAGTCCATTGCCAGTCCAGTACTGCTGGTATTCCATGCAAAAAAACCTAATACTTGGCTTTCTCTCTGTTCAAAACATTCAGTCTTCACTAAAAGTTTGGGAAACTGAGGCAAGGAAATGAAGTAAGCTATCCCAAGTCGCTCCTAGAAGCAGCAGAAGGGATTAGCACTCGGGGCTGGTGCTTGTCTTGAACCAAAGTCCTCCAGTCTTCATGCACCAGCCCCATTTTCTTGTTGCCTCACTGGATAATCAAAGATCTTTGAAATCAGTTCCCATCTCTTTATGACTAAATTACTACATCAGTATGCTGTAAGCTGAGGTTCCAAGCATTGATGCTTTGTGCTGTTCTCATGGCATTGCGCTGGTACAGAGCGAGGATGAGCACAAAATACCTGCAAACCACATAAGCAACAAGGTAGGGACTCTAAGACTTCCCCAGCCCAACTAAAACCTGGTAGATTTGTTCTCACTGGAACATGGATCTCCTTTGGGAGGGAAGGGGAAGGTTAAGGTGCTTTTTTGGGTTTTTTTGCATCACCTTGGTTGGATCTTTAAAAGGCAGTAGTAGTTCTAGCCCTGAGTTTCCTGCTCTGAATCTAATTTTCCCAAGGCACAAGAAGTGACTTACCTGGAGATCATAAAGGCTGTCACAAAGCTCAACAGCCGGGACTAGAACCATATTTCCTACTTCATCTTCTGTTCTTTCAACTCAGTGCAAAACGTTACCAAAAAGCGTTACTACCAAATGCCATTAGGGCTTAAGAGGTATGGGCATAGAAGCCCATCTAGGTACGCCTATCAATGTCATGTATATCTGTTCACAGCATGATAATAAATATCTAGGCAAGTAACAAATACAAAGCAAAAAAGGTTCATCTGTCTCTGGTGTATTTTAATAAGTAAAATAAACCTAAAGGTGTGAGTTGGATTTCAGCAGCAGTTAACCTTTCCCCTGACATGATGCAAGATCTCTTTGCAGGGATGCTAAGCAGGAGATTTGCTAAATGCCATATGGGGGCTAACTCCGGAGACTGCCAGTCCATTGCTTGCTTATATAAAGCTTCCCAAGAGTCAGGCTGATACCCTCAGGCTTCTCCGAAAACATCGCTGATCCATAGGGCTAATCTCATTTCCTGGACCCTGAAACAAGCTGCAGTCTAAGGGTTACAGCCGATGGATGCGTGACACACAATCACCAGTTTGCCGAGTGGCTGCTGCTCCCCAGGTCTGTTAGGTACTTGGTAGCTTTTGGGCTTGCAAGAGACTTAGCTGCATGATGCTACCCACTTGTAGGGGACACCATGCCTGAAGTCACCTTCCCCACTGCCTGCCTTCCACCGCCCCCAAACAAGTTCACAGGGATCACCTTAGTGCGTGTTTTGGAATAGGAGGGGTTTGGTACAGCTTTTGGGTTTGACAAAGTGCAAGAGTGCCGAAAAGCTGGTCAAACAACTTCCTAGAATACATCCCTGCAGGTCCCCTGGGTCCGTGTGCTCAAGCACACACATGTGTAGTGAGGTAGCTGTTTCTGCTAAGGCAAAGACCAGCATTACCTGTTTAGAGAGCTTTGGCTGTCAGCAGAATGGATATTTTTGGCTCAGGTGGAAAATAATAAAGCTAGATAGGTCTGAGGTCCTGGTCGGAGTGTACCCGCCGGGTGCTTGACTTCAAAACTGATGCCAAGTTGCTCAGCTATTTGAATTTGCAGAATTGAAGTGCCAGCAGCTGGGCAGTCCTGGGCTGCAGGCACAGTACAGGTGAGAACACGTTAAGCTGCAAGCTCTTGGGAGCTGCTTTCCCATGTGAGCACTAGACAGAGAATTACTGCCACTTCCCTGTCATCACCAGTGTGAAAAGTAGGTGTGGTATTTCCCGGTTCAATAAAACAGAAGGAGCCCAAGGTCACTACTGTTCTTGTGAAGTGGGGCCATTCCATTTTAAGTGCTTCCTTTTGTTTCCTGCAAAGTGGTGACATGGAAACAAAGCCCTCTCCCACCACCAAATGACAGCTTGGTCCAGCCCTTTCATAACAGAAGCCCTTGAGGTTTTCACCAAGGGAGCTTGATTAGGTTAGTAATCACTGCAGCACACAGAAAGCATTTATCCCTGCAACCTTTTGTAAATAAGGAGTTATACTGGTTCTGCCTTTAAAGCCGGGGAGATTTACATATACAGCTTTCTCTCAGCACTGAGGGAGGAGAAACTGAGGCAGTAAAATCCTGAAAGCCAGCAATTTATTCAAGGAGGGATGCAGAGAGCACTTGAAGGCTCAAAGCTTGTGGTATTTTACCTATAGTTTGCAGCACAGGGAACAAAGGATAGGATTTTCATTAAACCCTAGCATTTTTAGAGGCACAAACTGTATTTTTTTTTTTAAGTCACATTGACGGTCTTGCAAAAGTTTCCTTCAAGAGTTGTTACTACACAAGAGCTGTGTGTGCAGCTCTTGGTAATTCGCTGCCTGTTACTTGTTGCTGTAGTGGGACCTCCCAGTTCTCTCTTATTCCTAAGACCTCTTCTGAGGTCTTCTGTCCTATTCTCCTTTGGCAGTCACCTCGCTCTGACATAGCTATTGCATCTGACGTGACCTCTGGTTAACGACTTATCTCCGAAACGTGAAGAAATCATTTGTGCCAAGTCTGCCAACATTAAATGACTTCGGGAGAGAGGGACTTTGTGACTCACGGCTCTCTGCTCAGAGGTGTGACCGGGGGAATCCCAAACCTTTCTTCAGTACTTCACGTCTTGGGCTACAAGATACCTGGGAAGCAATATCAGGTAACATCCCTTTTCCTTTCTTAGAGCAGACTCTAGTTTTAATTACCTCCTCCATTCCTTTGGTAGCAGCACTTCATGGGGGTTCCCTCTTCTGTAGCCGGGAAATCGGGAAACACAAGTATGACACAATTACCTTCAATTACCAAAAATATTACTTTTATGGAAGAAAAGTGAAAATTTTTACTTATTCCAGATCTGAAGCAGTGAGAGACGCATAGAGATTATAGGGGAGTTTTCAGTGACTAAGGCTCACCCACGGCCTTCAGAGAGGAGAAATAATCATGTTACTGCCTTTCCTCCCAGCTTCACAGCGGTTTGTAGCCTTTAATCTCACACACTGAATCCTCTGTTTGCTTGGGCTTTGGAGATTCAACAACCCCCATGTGAAGTTAGCACAGAGCAGGACTCCCCCATTACTTGCTGGTTTGATCCTGGCCACAGCCATAAATGACTGCCCTGCCTCTGTATACACAACATAGACCTGGATCAGATACAAATTTGACCGTGTAACACAGCTCCACCCATGCTGTCTGCAGAAGACAAACTCATCCACAGCAATGAAAAGTGCAAAGATAATTCAGTGTTTTCCACTTGATCCCAGGTGATGTTTCCTAGCATCCCTTGGCACATCCCTCCTTGCACACCTGCCTCACCCCCCCAAAAGCTATTGAGATGCTTGTTTTGCTGAGTCCAAGTCTTCTTTTGGTCTCCAAGGCTCTACTACATGGGTTTCCAGAGAGATTAATAAATACTATAAAAAAAAAAAACTTCTGTAGGGCCCATCACGGGAGCCCTGGTATCCCTCCAAAACATTTTGGGTTTTTTGCCATCCCTTCTCTTTGAATGTATGACTGCCAACAGGCCAATAATGGCTACGTGCTTTGCAGACAACATCCGTTGTTCAACCTGGAGTGCCATGTCCTTGTTTTTATTTGAATGATTCTTCTCCTGTCCCATAATACACAACGACCCCCAATGGTTTTGCATTTGAGCTCCATCTGGTGCGTCTTGGCTGCATGTAGCAATGTCTCAGTGCCCATCCCCGCTGCGTAAATCCTCAAGCAGGTCAAGACATCACCATGTCCCAGCGCTGACTCATGGCTGTGCTCTCGCAAGGGTTGATGACAAGTTCTTTGGTGCTCTCATTCGTGTCCCCAGTCGTCTCAGTGTCCAAACAGAAGCGTGAAGCTATGTGTTCAATGTGTGACCCAACTTTACCCCATCGCTGAGGAGAGATAAACACGAGAGGAGAAACAGGGGTGAACAAGCTTCCTCCTCATTATGCTTTTACTATACTGTTCCACCATCAAGAGGACAGTTGTCACTAAGCCTTTGCAGCCTGATGCTGGGAAGTACAGGGTCCCCCAGCCCACATCCAGCAGAGCACACGCTGAGCACTTCTCCCATCAGAAGCACACTCATTTAAGCTCAGCCTCTGCCTGGCTTCAGGAAGATAATATATTACTAACAGCTTTTTCCCCAGGTCACTGGTTCAAATGCCAGCTCGATGATTAACTACAGAGAAACGTTAGCATCTGCTGGCTGACTGGCAGCCCGTGTGAACTAAATTGCCTGTTTTGGTTTCACTTCTGCAGATAAGTATCCAGATCACCACCCGCACTAATAGACATCCTTATCAACACGCTCATTTAAAAGGCAAAGGGCTGAAGAGGCCAGAGCATACTCCCAGATAGACTGTGCTTCCCGGAGAAGTCAGGGCACACGGGCGATTTGATGTGCAGTAATACTATGCTGAAAGAAAGGCAACTTCAAAGAAAATGGCGGATCAACGAAAGGGCTCACCTGCTTGTTGTCACCTTCTTTGCAAGGTGACAGCAGCACCTGGGAACCAGGGAAGAGGGTGTACACAGACAAGCACAGCTGCTGCTGGCGGACTTGGTGGTTGTATGTGTATGTCCATTCCTGCAAAGAAGAAGAAAAAGAAAGGCGGTGAGAGATCAGGGTTGATTCTTGGTATTCTTCTACCTGGAAAGTAAACACTTTGGCTTGGATCCTGCCCCCTCAGAAACCAAGCACAAACCTCACTGACTTCAAGAGGCACCAGGACAGGTCACTAGGATGCTTCAAGCCTCCCCAAAACTGCAGCTGTCATTGGGAGACTGTATATGCCAAAGAAAATGTCTACAAAAGCTGCTGGAAGAAAATGGTTCATGAGGTAAAGGATTTCATAGCCAGAACTGGGCTGTGGTTGGGGAGCAGGGAGATGGAAAAATGGCAAAAGAGGCAGAAATGCACAACCACACAATGTGCAATCCTCTTTTTTCCGAGGAAGAGCAGTACAAACACTTTGCAGCTAGCATAGGGAGAGAGGAGGTGATATATAGCAAGTATTTGCAGCTCCTGGGATTCTGTTCCCAAATATCACAAAAGTCAGGGGTAAAGCTCCCCTTTATATCAAAGGAGCGGGACCAAACTCCAAACGTTTGCTTTGCTGGTTTGCTATGACCGCTGCTATTCCTGCTCCCCTGGGCTGTCCTGGAGTATTTTTTTCTCATGCTGCTTTTCATGGTCACCTGCTCTTTATCAGGTCCTCAGCCCAAGAAATAATCTTTGGGGGAGCAGAGACTCTGTCCTGTGTAAAGCCCTCTGGGATAATCACCATTTCCACCCATAGATGTTTTTCTCGGGAGAAAAAGAGAAGAGGCTGATAGTCTGACCAGGATTTCCAGATGTACTGGACAAAGCATCATGTATGTGCAGATACACTGCTTAGCCCAGTAGTATTTCACAAAAGTTTATTCCAGTTGAACGTTTTCTGTCATTCACTTGTGCTCATATTACCCAACAGCACCTCCAGAGGATCTAAGACCGTCCAGGCAGGGACGTCTCCGTGCTATTTGTGTGTGGACACAAGCAGACGAGAGCTGCTCTGGCTTCTGGGAAACCACAAACCATGCTTTTACATAACCCCAGAGAGTGACTTCTGGAACAAATTTTTTGCTTATAATTTTCTGAGTATTAACTTTAAAATTAGGGCTTGAAGGGGTTTCTGAAGACCTCTAGCCAGGGTGCAAAGCAGGATCAACTCCTGCTGTGCCAACAGCTCTGAGATAGTAGCCAGGCAAGCAGCAGTGGGAGCAGATGGAAAGCCGGCTGCTGAGCTGCGGCAGGGCAGGTGAGCAGGACTGGAGGACAAACAGCAGCTGGCTCTGCTAGCAGAGGGCAATAACCACGCTGGAGAGAGCAAGGCCGGGCAGCAAGAGGTTTTCTGCAACAGGCCCCAAGAGCCAAGGCAAATGCTTTGACAGGGTACAGGCCATTGAGAAAAAGCTGCTGTGAAAGAAAAGGTGCAGAGAGAAAGCAAAACAGTTGAGAGCTCAGATACAGAGAAGTCAGAGCTCCGGGAGGAGCGAAGTGAGCAGGGGTGTTGGCAATGGAGGGGAAGGCAGTGCTCAAACGCATGGCAGTTTAGGCTGGGTCTGGACAAACGAAGGGTAAAAGGTGCTCCTGGGAGACTGCAACCCTTTCTGAGCGCTGCAGGGGAAAGCGAAGGATGGCTGCCCTGAGCTCAGAGCTGGGACGCCTGCAGCTCCCCCTGACTTTGAACGGTGGAGGCTTTGGGTTGCATTAGCATGAGTTATTAGAGCAGGGAAACGCTTCCACCCCTTTGGTATTTGTCACCGTCAGCAGCTTTAACTCCTCTCCCAGACTTCAAAACAGACAGCTACAGGCATTTAATTCCTGGGAATAAAAATCCCACTTCATTCAGGTTCTTAGCCACCTGGAAGGGAAAACACGCTTTTGCACAGCAGACCCAGATCCACAAGGACTTCACACTGTGATCCTCACACCTCACGTTTCTGAGCCTGCTACTCCCCACCACCTAATGGAAATCAAACCTGGCTTTCTGAACAGCCTGCCCACAGGCTTCTCAGCGAGAGCTGCCCAGGGTTTCGGCACATAACAAGCATTAATTTTCAAAGCCATAGTCTGCACTCAGAGGGCCTTCTGGCAACTACTTCTCTGTCAGACAGAGCAGAGTTTACCTGATCCTACAGTGAACACGTTCCAGACATCCCAACCATGCACGCTGTAAACTACCAGCCTGGGAAATCAGGTGCCAAATCCGCCTTGCATCTGTGAAGAACCAAGCCCTATGGGGCAAGCTCCACCACCTGTTCTCGGCGCCTGCGCTGCTACAAGCTGCTTTGAAAACCTGCTTTACATTTTTAACCAATTGTTTGTCATTTTAGCTCAGGGCAAGGCCTGAGCTACACCCACGAGGCTCCTCAGCAGCAGCAAGCTAATCCTGTAACTCTTGTATATGTTGGATCCCCCAGCTAATTCAGGGAGTGGGACTTCATGACCTCTGAACCTCCTTGCTTCCCTGAGGCACTTCACGCAGGAGTGCTGCTCCCAGAGGTTCTCCATGCTTTTTTTCCCAGGCTCTGTTCAAGCCTTCCCGATATTCACATCCTCCCAAGGCAGGACCACCCTCTCACTCAGCAAAGCGCCACGGGATAGACAGGGTGGTGGTAACCATCTCTCCTGAGCTGCTGTTCATCATAAGAAATGAGGCCTACGGAGCTAGATATATGTGTCAGTTCGATAGCTGACATTGGATCCTCCCCTCTTGCCCCCCGGCTGCCCTGCTACTGTCTTTATCTAAACTGACAGATTTTCACAGAGCTCTTCTGTTTTGGCAGAATAGCTTTTTATGGAGGCCAGTCCTGTTGAAAATGTTTTATCCAGTTCTAATCATGCCTTGTCTCTTTTCAGCCCTAGACAAAAGCCAGAGAAAATGATGCAGAAAATGAAGACATTCTGGGGGGAAAAAAAGTCACTTGAACACCACAGAATCCATGAAAAGTTTTGAGTTAAAATACAGGCAAATGGCCACGCAAATGTTTATCTTAGCCCATCTCTTCTTGGGATGAAAATTCCTGTTTTTCTTCCCATGAGAAACTACTTTATCTTCTAAACCCTGGCATACTGAGCACTCATGTGGCCAGCACAGCAGTAACAGCAGAGATTCGCACCCCGGGGTTGCGGTGAATGGGGCAGCTGAGGGTACTCCTAAGAAGGGAGACCTTCAAGGAGCTAACACAGCTTCAGGGCTGCAGACTGGCCTGAAGCGATGCCAACGGGGCTGAGAGCTGACCCCGGGCACCAAGGAAAAACAGACACACGAGGTGAAACTGAGATCAAGATTTCCTGCCTTTTCAAAGACAAAGCAGCTCCTGATGAAGTGGTGGTGGAGCAAGGAGGAAGAGGGTGGACTGGGAGAGCAGGGCCATCAGCTGCACACCATGACAAGCAATCCCCCTCTTCTGAAGCCTTGGATAACGCTAGCCCCCATCTGAGGCTTGCGACTATTTTTCAAGGCTTCAGCATCATTCAAGCAGGCACCTGTCACTGCTGCTCAGCATCACTATGAATTGAGGAATTATTTTGAAATGTGACCTTTGGCTTGGTGTAGCCTGGCTGGCAGAAGGAGAAAGGAGCCCCTCAGCCTAGCAAGGAGCAGCCCCGTGGGAGCCCAGTGTTATGTGACAGAGCCGTACGTGCTCTGCTGCCAAGCAAGAGGTCAGCCGTACCCTAAAGCTAGGGTAGCAGCTAGAGAAAAGTGTTTCTGAAGAAGCCAGGAACAACCTCAGCCCTCAATTATCTTTTTAAAATCACAGGGAAGGACTTCCCAAGACACGCGACTGCATGGGTCACCTAAGGATACCAAAGTGCTTCACTCATCGAAAGGCCCTGGGATGCAACTAGCACTTACACACATCTCAGGAGAGGGAAAGCAAAGTACAAAAGGTGCCCATGGCAGCCTGGGTGCAGAAATGACATTGCTGCCAGCCAGCCCCTCTGCTCTGCCAGCTTAGCCCAGCCAGCCTACAGCTGGGGCAGGACGTGCCCATGGAGGAGAAGAACGAAGACTTTTGAGGGGAGAAAGGTCAGAAGAGAATTTTTGTGGTTGAGATGTCTCAGGAGGGACACTGTCAGGTTAGTTCAGATAGATGCTAATTGTTCTCCAAAGAAAAGTGCGGATTTAGTCAGCCCACAGAGGTCCTCAAGCCAACTGGGGCAAGCTTCAATGCCACATCAGGCAGATTACCACATTGCATTTCCTTCACAATGAGAGTCAAGGACACGCCACCCAAATGCAATGGCAGCCAGTCAGCTCCAAGGCCAGATATTTTGGGGTACAGGCCAGATATTCTGGGGTGCAGGCCAGGGAAATGGATGCTGCAACCTTCCCACTGTTTCCTCACTTGTCTAGGAGATGACTACCTCCACATTCATCTTGCGGCTACTGCTTACATGTGTGTGAGTATCTAGGCTGAAGTGCCATCTTTTTTATCTGAAGTATATCAGGTTTCATGGGACTGCTAATGATTAATAGTTTATTAAATGAAGATGTATGTATTAATATCAACTGACACTTAGTTTGAAAAGAAAACCAAATCACTCACATCTTCATCAGATAGACCAGGGCAAAATTATCATCAATTGTTTTCTCTCAGATGCATTTCTCTTGTGAAAAACTACATCAGTCAGTTCATTTAGCAAATGAGACACAACAAGACCAAGGCTCCAGTGGGCAGGAGCGCAGGCAGAGCCCACTGTGCCCTGGGGACGGGTAGCACTGCATAAAGATCTCTGCCAGTCACTATCTCAAGAGCAGGTCTCTCTGAGAGCCACCCCAGGGGACAGAGCCTGCCCTGACTGCTACCAGACCTTTTGGAGAGGGAAGGGCCAAGTGGATCCCAGGGACGAGAAGACAGAGCTCTCCTACACAAAGATGAGGGGTCTTCCTGTGCCTCAGCGCCCCTTTTAGTAATTCAGGAGCAACACCAGACACCACCAGGGAGGGTTTGTGAGGTCTGCTAGGGGTGTCAATCTGATTTCACCGCAATCAGAGTACTCTTCTCAATTTACCCAAACTATGGATGTGGCTAGAGGGCTCACAACATCCTTCCCCTGCACCACAGACAGAAAAAACTAAAATAAAGAGCAATTGATTGCCATCTGAGAGCTCCTGTTCCTCTGTTCTCAAACCACGGTGATGTATGACAGCTCAGATCTTCTCACACCTGGTCCCAGGACTTCACGCATGTAATGTTGGTAAAGGGCTTGGGGAGCCTACTAGGGAGACAGCTACAGAAGGGCAATCAAGCAGCCAAATTAATGCTACTAACACTGATAATAAAGGATCTGGATGGCCAGGATATTTCCATAGTACTTACTGAATGCCAGGAAAGCACAGCTTTGATTTAGTTAAGCCTGTTTTTCAAATAATGAAGCTTAGTGTAAACAAGATGTGACTTCAGTATGTTAAAAGTGAAGATTACTGTTCTATTCTGGTATAGCAAATACAAAACTAAGTAGCATTCAGGACTGCTGCATAATCTATCCTACACAGCCTGGTGACTATAACCCCCATGTCATTCACATATTCAGGTGGTCTTGTAACAATTGTGTAATTAAAATATAAGTTTCTATTCACAATGAAAATTTAAATATCCTGCTTTCTTCTGAAATATTCTTCATGGGTACAAGTAACAGAGAATTACCCTAGAAAGACAGAGAAAGATAAAAGGAAAAGGTTTTTCTCTATTCCTGCCTGAGTATTGAGAGTAGCTACTCTGCAATCTGTTTGTAGTGCATTTTTCTGTTCCCCTGCAGAGTTAGTCCTGGATGTGCATAAGAAATGGAGTTGCCATCCAGTGGGAAGCGTTGACCTATTGCAAACTGCTGCAGAATCAGCATGGGAAGATGAAAAGTTTGTGGCATGAAAAATTCCAAAAATTTACTCCACAGAAATGTCAAAACAAAATGTGTTTGATGGAATGAAACAACACAACTTGTTGGCATGACATTTCTCTTTTTAAAATATCACATCAAATTGATATTTCAGAAAGACCAATGCTATTTCATTTTGAAACGCTAGCTTGCAGCAGCATTTTCCATTCTGATCTTCCCAGATTTTTTTAAAAACATCCAATTCATTGAAAGTTGCAATTGTCACTGAAACTTTTTTTTTGTTTCAGCAGAGTTAACCCTGCAAAACATGATAATCTGCTCTCATCCGCTCACTTCTCTTGCTGTTTGTGTAAAAAGTCCATGTAGCAGTGGAAGAAAGAAAAAGAACTCTAAAACCTGGGAGCCAGTTAAACCATAAGAACTGTAACTATTTAGTGTACATTCATTAAATATAGTGAATGTACTTGCAGTTATACTCACTATATTTTCTGAGCTGACTAAAATTCAAGTAGTCATTGTTGATTTTACCAGACTGTGAAGCAGATATTATTTTCCTGACTAAAGGCAGGCATGCAACTGCATGCAAAAGAGATGCACATGCTTCGTTTCCACATACAAACTAGGGACATTTTCAGCAGCATCTCCAGGCTGGGCCTTTCATATGCATAGCTACCTGGTTTGAATGTGTAACCATGAGGGTTAAGGATCTACAGTCAAGTGGAAGCAAACACACCATTGCCTATTAAATTATTTCACGACACCCCGAAGAAGTGAATGATTGTTATCCTCCCTGTTTTATAGATGGGAACAGTGAGAGAACTTCCTGACATGCCCAAAATCACAAAGGGAGCCTGAAGAAAAGGCAGGTTTCAAAGCCATGTCTTCAGGGTCTTGCTCCAGTGACTCCGCTGCAAGGCACATTTGCCTGCTCTTGGCTCTAACGTTTCATAGAATATGCTTTTGAGAACGCTGATTCATATGGCTTTTTCTCGTCTCAGCGAGACTGAAAAAAACGAGATCATCCTCATTAAATTCTCACTGGTTTAATGGGCAATCTAATATTGAGAGAATGCAGACTATGAAGTTATAAATACCACTGCGATTCAGTGCATTTTGAAAGAAATAAGGCCGAAAGATGAGAGGAAATGATAGTTCTCTTTGTCTTTCTCCGATCTCTGCAGATGAACGGCGCGTAGCGTTCCTGAGCAGCAGCAAGCGCTCAGCGCAGGCTAGCACAGAGATAAGCGGTCCACCCTGTACTGTGGCTCCTGTACCAGTCCCTACTGCTGCCCAGGGCCTCTGCTGAGGGAAGGAGGACTTACCAGGGTTTAACTACGTGCTGCCTTAGGAAACGGGCTAGCAGAACGGGTAATCCTCCAACAGAGCTTTAGCAAACTTAGGAAATCACCTGGAACCTGCCCCAGAGCATTCTCTGCAGCCAGCATCACGGGGATAAGGCAACACATCTTACCTGTGCCGTTGCTGCTGTGCCTTTACTGCTGATGCAAGGATTTAAGCTCAGGATGGGGAACTCTTGGGCTTCAGACTTGTGCGACTCCAGGCAGCTCTGCCTTTGCCTGATCATCCCAGTCTGATAGAGCGATTCCTCGGGAATCCTGTGGGAACAGCGTGAAAACAACATCCCTACTCCCCCAGGCACACGGAGTACTCAAAGGGAGGCTCACTGGGGTAAGGAGGGTGCAGTCGCACCATTCCACCTTCAGAAAATGAGAGTGGCAAGACCTAGTACAATACTGAACCACTGAGAGCAGTACATGGACAGGGATGCTGCAGAAGCAGCACTCAGAGATGGATGGCCGGCCTTTCTAAGAGGAAAAAATAAATAACACCGCACGAGGCAAACAGAGCAGCAAGCGATAGATTGTGAGCAGGCTGAAGGTCAGCCTTCAGCTTACAGGAGTGGGGAACTTTATAACAAACCACCACAGAGCTCTGGCATTCCCTGTGAATGCTGCTGTGCAGTGCCACACATGGCAAAAAAGCAAGAAAACATCTATAAATCATTTTCACCCTGTGATTCTGCACTCAGCCATTGCACCAGCAGGTCCCTGGAGGTATCTCCAAAACATTTGCACCCTTTCTAAGTATGGTTCCTGATAGTGACCAGGGGAATGGATGCAATGGTTTCTGGAGTAATTTCGGTGACTAAAAGGGATCTGTGCAAAAGCAACCGTGGAAGTGCATATTAAGCAAAGCATTAGGCTAGGAGTAAGGCAGAGCCACCTGCATACAGGTCATAAATGCCTGGAGTGGATGGTTTCACAACACATAAGTCTTGAGTATCACAGAACAGCGTGAAAGGACTGGAAATTAGGTGCTTTTTTTTTGTAAGCAAGAGTCATTAAGTACTGAAACAACCCACCAGAGGCTACAGTGGATTTTCTACCTTGGGATACTTTTGTAAGGAAAACTGGCTATATCCCTATACCACCTGTCCCACAGTGTGGGCAGGAGGATACCCGAGGAAGCCCCAAGAGCAAAGAGAAACAACTGGTGCTTTGCCTCTCACCAGCCCTGCAGCAAAGAGCCGCGGAGTCTATAAGGCTGCTTAGAGAAAGCAGGATCACAAATGAACCATGTCACACTGTGAGCAAGCTGTATTTAAAGCCAGCACAAAATTCACTATGCCCTTCTGTGAAGCCCAAGGGAGGAGGTGCCTGTGTCTCTGGGGCAGGGAGAGGCATGGGGACTGGAGGGGCAGAAGAAAGCTCTGTGGGGCAGGAGGGATGGGGCATCCTGCTGCCCTGCTAGAGACAGGCAGAGATCGCACATCCATACCGAAGTTCGGGATAAACATTTTCCAGGTACCACTTGAAGCTGTGGCATTTCAACCTCTTCCGCAGATCCACTCTGCTCTGGACGCTGTGGGAAAAAGAGTATCATAGAGATACAATGGAAATCATGAAGGTGAGACACAACGTACCAAAAAGGGAAGCTGAGAGAAACCCAACAGATATGCACAGACAGCAAACACAAGAGCATCAGCAGCTGTATTTTCTGCTGTCTTCTGCATGAGCTTGGGTGGTCGTTTTGATCTCTGTCTCTTTGGAGGTCTCACTAGGTAAAATGGCATGATGACATTTTGCCATTTTAACAAGGAGCCTGGAGTTTGGTGGATGAAAAGGTTCATGGAAAAGTACTGTCATTTAAAACTGATTAGTAAAAAAAAGTATGCTATCTACTATGTGCAATAAGTATTTCTTTAATATATTAATATACTAGGAAATTAATATATGCTATTATAAGTTACTCTTAGTTTACAGGACCACAGAAGGCCTTGATTTCCAAGAGCACCTAAACATGCCTTTAAGTCAGCAGAAGTTAATCACACAGTGAAATACTCCTTTCTTTCATTAACCAGGGCAAAATTTCTGCTGAGGGATCATGCTGTATAGTGACATTTTCCAAACTCCAGCTCCTCCCTGGGCCAGCCTCTACCCACGGAGCTGTTATGAGCTGGCGTTTACAGAGCAGCAGGAAGCCTCCAGTACCTTCCCTTCACATAGGCTATCTTCTCTACACCCTCATATATTTAGCAGGACAGAGCTGTTACTTCATTTGGTGTTGGCGGATGGGAAGAAGATATGAATTCAGTGGAAACAGGTTAGTCACCAGGATTTCAATTTATTTATCCTGGAGATTGAGCCAGAAGGAATTTGGGTTTGGATTTAGGACCCCCTGTGGTCCAAAGAAAACTTTTTAAGGAAAGGAAGAGCATATGAAAATGAGAAATTAACACAAATAGAGTACACCTGACAGGGAGGCATTTCTGACTGCTCACAGAATGAATGGCAAACTCCCCGCATACAAAGCACTCGCTCCTTTTCAATAAAGCCTTAGTGGGCCCAAAATTTGATGATTTTCCTGCCCTTTAGCTGCCAGTGAGACCTATGGACTGTCCCCCCCAAACTCCACTCTGGGACCAGAAGTACTTGTACCTAATGCCCAAGGGCTGGACATAGGCAGAGGGGGTTTTCCTCCACCTCGATTTGGTTTGCTCACTGGGATAAACTAGCACAGCATATAAACTAGCTGTTTATATGTTTCATTGCTGTGTACATAGCATCTGCCTACCATTAGCATTTAATTGAGCGTTACTACAGAAACGATGCAGGCGGGTTTACGCAGCAGGGCGGTGTCACCGTGAACACCCACTGCAGCAGGCAGGGCACAGGCAGCAGAGAAAGACACTTACTTTCCATAAGGCCTCCCTTGGGCTGCCGGACGAGCCGCGTAGTAGTACTGCTTGAATTCGTCCATCCACACCTCCGCGGTACGCTTGGTGTTTCTGAAGGAGGCAATGAAAGACGGGTGAAACCAAGGAAGCCTCCGAGGTGACATTTTCTAAAACGCCCCGACTGATCCATCCCACTCTCCTCCCATCCTCAGCTTGGTCTTCGGCTTCACCCAAATCACCTTTGAGCCAGCCCACCCCTCGCTACTAGAGAAGGTGCTCCTCCTCCCCATTACTCCAGGGACCAAACACAACAGGCCAAAGCTTGGGTGAAGAATTCACCATTTCAGACTCAGTTGGACGCTTTCCATCCACCAGACTCAGAATTGAAGCTTCTCCTAAGCATCATCTCCCAGGCAGGCATGCCTGGGGTTTTATGTAGTGGCTGGGATGGAGCTCTGAAAAGTGGTGCAAAATTTGCCGAAGATTGAAGGCAAAGATTTCCTTTGCGTCAATCCTGTATGGACTCTTCTGCTTTGCCCTCCTGGATTGCAAATCTCAGCATTCAAAACTTAACAGAAACGAACCTGGCCACAGTGCTGTAGCGTAAATCTCAGTCTTCCACATCAGCCAGGTGCCTGGAGAAGATTTATGAACTGCAGAAAATCTTCTGTTGACTTCAGATGGCTCTAACTCTCCTTGCAAATGGCTTTGTTGCTCCGTGCCTATCCGCCCATCCCTGTCTGGGTCAGGGGAGTCCTCCAAGCTCCTGCTCCAAGGCAGGCCAGTGCCTCCAAGCTGTTGCTATCATGCCACTGGGCTGCGGGTGCCACGGGGCAGGCTCTGATCCAGCCGAGTCCCACATGGCCAGAACAGGAGATAGTCTGCACGTGAGCCCAGCACAACACTGGAGCCTGAGCTGTCTCTCACACTGAAGAAGAGGTCGTGTGGAAAAAAATCAATATCTGGCAGAAAGGTGGAGATATTTTTTGCTAACATCTCTGTTTAAACAGGTAGCACATAGCAACAGGTTGCCAGAAGCTGCTTCTCCTCTCAGTCTATATACTACAACATTAAGTTTAAGGCTGATAGATACCATAAGGTTAATAAAATCCCAGCTCCTAATGCTGACAGATATGTTCCTCCAGGCTGCTTTTAAGTCCCTTGCTGATTCATGGTGCTTCTTCCTCTCTCTGTAAGGCCACTGCAATAGTCTGAGTGCTCTTGTTCAAGAGATGCCAAAGTCACAGTGTCTACATCTGTATCTAACCTTCCCCAAAGTTCAGGGTTTTTTGTCTCGGCTTCCTGATGTCATTTGGGTTTATAAGAAACATGGGAATAAATGCCGAGGCTCACACTGAGGCGTTGACTCAGAGCTCCCCAAAGTCCCCATGCGCCTGTGCCTGGGGTGCAGCCAGAAGAGCTGTACCCATTCAAGCTCCCCTTGCTCCTCCTGCAGGTGATGCAATGCAGATGCTGCCTTTTCACTCAGGTTTGCAGCAACTCTGACAGTGGAGATGTTGCCACATCCCAGCCTCTTCTGTAGGAGTCTTATTTCACTACTAAAAGCAAGGGCCCTACTCGTGACTCTCAAATTTGTGCCCTCCTCCTTGATACCAACAATGCCCTGTGCCCCTCAACGCCATCTTTTTGAAGCAAGGTGACAAGGTCCCCTTCCACACACTGCATGGCTGGAAATCATGTATTAGGTGTAACTGAGAGGTGTAATTTGCACTCCCCCAGTTCGCTGTCTCACGCAAATCGTGGGGAAGGTGCAGAGAGCCCAGGTAACCCCGCTGCAAGCGGCTGGGTCTTCGCAAATACTGTTGTCGGCTCTTTATAACACTGGGAAAGCCACACTAAAAGGAATGCCTGGTGTGTAAACACACACAAATGCAGTTTAGCTGAGAAACAACCCTGCATTAAGTATAAGTGCCCCCAGTGTTTTTCTCTGTCATTTACTTAATAGACAACCTTCAGCCTCATGCTCTAAAAAAGGAGAAAATCCTTCCTGACTTCACTATCTGCTCCCATCACCTTTCCCGTGCCGATTCTGGACTGCCTCTTTCCTTGCCTGCTGTTTCCAGGATCTTAGCCCATTTCAGCTGGCCGTTTCAGTACCTGGTTCAGTCTATGTTCCTGTGTGTGAGGACAGGTCCCCTTCAGCTGGGATGCCCTGGCAGTTCCATGGTGTCCCTGCCAGCAAGGTGCAGCCTGTTGCTGCCTCTGCTTGAGAGACAGCACCAGCCTGGGGGCGAAGCCACCCACTCCGGCATGCTGCTCGGCTCCCCTCTCGGAGAGGCATCAGGAACCAAATTTTCTGGTTCAGCTGAGCCACGCTCAGCCCTCAGCTAAGGTCACTGGGTACTGACAGACATTGCTGGCAGCTTGATTTCAGGTCATTATAAATGCGTTCTGATGACCTTAGGGTCTAAACCATTTGCTGTTACGGTAGCTAGTGCTCAGGGAGATGCTGGGGACGTCCCTCCATTTCTGTGCTGATGAAAGGTACCATATATGTGTCCTATTTCTGTCATATTCTTGACACTGTAGAAATCCTAAGGGAGAGTCATACTGAATTGCATTTTCTTCAGCTCAGGAGATTCCTGCCCAGGGATATTTCAAAGTTTTCCAAACAAAGTCTCCTCCCCATCTTCTCTGCTCCCCTTCCCCACAAGGTAGCACCATATTCCATTTCACAAAGAACAAAGCAAGCACAAAACACCTACTTAATATATGTATTGGCATTTCCCTCTGGAAAGACGTATGGATGTTTCTTCCGGAAGACATGTCCAACACGGCTGCAGGGAATGATTTCCAAGCTCCCTCCACACATCCACACGCGGAAAGAGATTTCTACAAGAGAAACAGCTTCAGCATTTTGTCTTTCTGTCCTAGAGCAGGCTGGATCCTACTGCTACCTCGCACTTCATCCTCTACCACATTAAACTGGGGTAAATCAATTACCAGAGGGGCTTTCCTAGGCACAACTCCTTTAAAAGTGCATTTCAAAGCTTCTTGCGATCTGTTTGAAGTCAGTGCACTTGAAACCTGCCTGTAGCACAGCAGGTGCTATCATAATGGCAAGAGCAAGACAGTAAGTAGGTCCCTATTCATGCAGCCCCGCTTACATTGCAGAATCATCTTGCCAGTTTTGCGCTCCCCTAATTACTTCTGCCCTGCCTATTTCAGAGTCACTTCCCTCCAAAGGGCTGTCAAGTTCACCAGGAGAGGCCAGGAATTCTGTGTATTAATCGCTACAGTGGTCATTATCTTTATGAATCCACCATTGATTCTGGAAAGTGAACAGAGAGCTATGCATCCATCACCTGGGATGACCTGTCCCAAAATGGATAGGAGCTTACCCTGCCCAGCATGTACTCTGGGCCGTGAGTGCCGATGTTGCGGACCAACAAGGCACATACCTTCACACAAGCAAAGGTCAGTGGTGGGAGGGATTATCCCAAAAATCTGGATAAGCTGTCAGTATGGGAAATGACTCCTGCTTGCCCCAAGCCACTCTCTGGCGGGTCCATGGGACCCTTCTGGAGGAAAACGAGCCTGTGGCACAACTGACACCAGCCAGAAGTTACAGGGCTCTTGGCAGGGAGCTGGATGAAATCCTAGCTGGTGAGGTAGGACGGGTGAACAGAATGGCTGATCTAATGGGTCCATCTGGTCCTAACACCTGTGAAGCTCTGAATCTGCAGCTATATTGTCAGACAGCCATCCTTAGACAGAACCAGCATGGAAAAGATATGAAATTAAAAAGAAAAGGCTTCTGCAGTTCTTTGCATCTTATTTTATCATCTGTTGACAGTATAGAGCTACACATAGCATGTATTTACTCCAAAACTACAAATTCCTTTTCACCCCCCGCCCCCCCCATTTAACTACAGAAGTCAGACAGGAGGACACCCATCAACTTTGCCAGCTCATGCTCCCAGCAGTCCCCTCACATATGCCAGCACAAGGATGACTCGTCCCCAGGTTGAATGCTGGCAAGACAAGCGCCTGTGGCGGGAAGGCCATTTGGCCAGTGTGGACAGGCAGGCACTCCTCCTCCAACAGCAAGCACTGCCAGCCTGCAAAGCTGCCATCCCTCCTAAAACAGCTCACAACTTCAGGGAGCAAAGGAGAACTGGAGCCCAGACCTCCAAAGCCACCTACTCTCAGGTGCACGTTGCTGCAGAGCTGGGAGCCAGCTTCGTGAGGCCGCCTGCTCCTGAGCTGATGGAAACGAGAGGCTGGCACAGCCACAAAGCCCTTTCGCCTTGATGCCTGGGCCCAAAATTCAAGGCTTGAGCCCATCCCCAACAGCTGGCCCTGGCAGCAGGGGCCAGCAAAGGCTGGGGTGGGAAAGCACAACAGGGAGAAGCATTTCTTTCCAGAAATCCTTTCCCTTCAGTGCTGTGTTTACAGGCAAGAGCTGCAACAGCAGTTGGAGCCTCACCACTTTCCCCAGAGCTGGGTAATAACAGGCCAATAAAACGTGCCCTTGTGCCATGTCCTGGTGTGATATTGGGAGCAACCTTAATCACAGCTGCAGGGAAATGAGATTACGGCAGGGGGGAGCCACTCTAAGCTGCTGTGCTCAGGTCCCCTCGCATGTGGCTGTTTCTCACTTGCCTGTGTGTCACAGCGCCGGCCACACTGACAGCGCTGCTGAGTAAATCAGAAGGGTGCCCGATAAAAGGGGACAATCAGCTGAGCAGCTGTGAACTTCAGCGTGGCTGCTGCGTCGTGCCTTCCCCTCCTCTGGTCCTTCTGCTCAGCCTGGGAGAAGAGCAGCTCCCTGAAGCACTACGAGGGAAGGACCTGCACCGTTCAGTCCTTGCTTGCTCTTAATTTAAAGCCTAATAAAGAGCTGAGCTGAGGTGATCTCTGTGCACTGTGAACTGGAATGAAAACACAGTGCTGGGGAGGCAGGAGATGGTGAGGAGTCTGAGCTCTCCGCTTCAGACATGTTGCACCCTGCAGACCCTGCTGCAGTCCCAGCGGAGGCAATTAAAGCATGGGCTTCTGCTGGTAGGGATGACCCACAGAGCCATCCATGGCAGCTAACAAACAAGGTCTCCAGACAGGCAGCCAAGAGCTAAATGCTTCGAGAGGAGGTAAACTGAGGCGCCAGTGAAGGCATGGCGTGGGGCCAGCTCAGAGGAGCCAGGGGAGCAGGAACCGGCAGCACCCTCCACCTGGCCTGCAAGGGATGTCTGCAGTGCAGGTGTCCCCTCCCAACGACCCCCAGGAGAGGTGCGAGCAATACGTGCTGGGGTGCACTGGGCTTGGCCTTAGCTTGGCAAAATACCTTTAGCGCTTCTTGCTGGCCTGCAAGTCCTTCTGCCATTACTCATCAATTCACCTACAGGGGATTAAGTAAATTTAAGAAGTAAAACACCTACAATGTCCTCCTCCTAAATCAAACACACTTGCTTTTGTTTTGCCTGAAGTCTCCAGCCCCCTCTAACTGCCCAGTCAATAACAATAAAGGCAGCAGCGATGCTCCCCAAGACCAGTGTCCAGCAGCCCCTCAGGACCAGAAAAAGCAGAGTTCGCTGCGAGTGCCCAAAACGAGCAGCCGCTTGGTCAGCTCCTGCCCTCTGTCACCTGCCCAGAGCTGACTGGAGCCAGCAGGGTCACAGCTGCCCCTGCCTGCGTGCAAAGGAGAGGTGGGACACACTGCCCTTGGCTGCTGCGCCTGCAGGAGATGCAGCTTTGAGCAGACATGCTTCTGCTCTCCGGGCAATGGGCAAGACAGGATCTCACCTGCTGCTATGCAGACCTGCACTTTTCTGTTGCAGCATTAACCTGCCTGGCTCCTTCCTCACCTTTCCCTTTGTCACACCGATGCCCTGAGGCAGCGTTACACCCTGCAGCACAGCCAGCACATGTTAGGTCGGGACCAGCCTCCCAGGACACAGCACCAGTAAGGGACACATGGCGCTCTGTAGGATAGGCCATAACCACACATAAGGAGCGCAACACCTGCCGTTGCAGGGCATTGAGCAAGCTGCTGGAATCGAGCTTCCCGGGTGGGCAGGCTGTCCCGTCACTGTTCATCTCCCCGGAGCAGCTCGTGCTGGCTGCTGTCAGAGATGAACGAGGAGCAGAGACGGACAGCGGGTCAGGCGCAGGGTGGCAGTCCCTCTCCTCCTGTCTAGTTCCCTTCTGGAATGCTTTGTTTGGGCCATTGATCCAGCGGGGGAGGCGGGAAGGCTGCTGCTCCCTCCTAGGTTTCCTCAGAGCCACCCCA